TGAACACCTTCTTAATATCGTTTGGAGTAATGTTAGTTTTGTTATCGCGAGTCAAAGTGTCCTCACGCCCAGTTGAACCTGTAAGAGAGCGCTGGTCCCAGGTTCAAATGGGCTATGTCGTAAACAGTGCCTTCTTCATATGCTTTCTCCTCGAAATATGTCCGCCATTACTCCGTAACTTCCTGCGGCCTTTTTAGGATATTTTTAAGTTTTATTTAATTTGGAAGAGGTGCTTCATGTACTCTGCGGATAAATTAACCAAACCACTGCAAAGTCGGGTTGCATCCTCTACCGCGTCCACATGGAGGAGAGCAATCAGCATTAGCTATGAAAAGAACCCAATTTATAGTTTAAGAAAAATGAAGTTTTTGAAAAAGTCCAGGCACATTTATATTTTATGTCGCTCCTTTGGTCCACGTATTTCATAGTTCTCGTTGATTAATGCTTCAGGATAACTGAGGTAGAGCGAAGATGCCAAAATCGCACAGAATCTGTTGAAGAGCTTAGCAGGCAGAAAAGGCAAATCTTCGTCAACACCTCAGCAAATGGAAACCATCTTTGGATGTCATCCATGTCTAGAGTCAAGGTAAAGTGATTATATAACGCAATAATGCGGTTAATATACACCTAATACTCATCAATATTCTCTGATCATTATCGCATAGCAAGGGTCAAAATTGATAATAACCTCATTTTTAAAGTCAAGGATTCGGCTTCTTTGGATTTCACACAGGGAGTGAGCCAAAGCTTAGTTGTGCACTGTGCTCAATGCACCGATGAAAAATAGAAAAAAGAAGACCAAAGAAAATCAAAGTTTTGAGAGAGTGGAATGAAGGAGGCATCTAACAAATTAGGATTCGCAACCTTGAATAATAACAACTATTCAGCACTTATTTCAGATTGGAGAGCTTATGCAGAAGTGCCTGGACATACATCAGTACTGTACTGGTTTAGAGAGTTCAGATCGTGGGCCACCTGGTCCTCCTGGACCTCGTGGACCTCCAGGGTTAGTGCTTTACACTTCTGCAAAAAAAGTCCACCAATACTTCTGTTTCCTTGCAGAAAACCTGGATCGCCTGGTGCACCTGGACGGCCGGGTTTGATGGGTATTCCTGGGCTACCTGGACCGCAAGGTTTGTCATAAATGTGCATAACAGCCTTTTCCAACGAACCTATGATAGGACCACCTGGACCTCCTGGGAAGGATGCAGAATGCAGCGATTGCCCTGTGAACGAGGAGTACCTCGTTCAGAAATACGATTGTCCGAAGGTAATGAAAAATACAATACCGTTCATAACTTTTGCGAAAAAAAACGTAATTTCACATAAAAATCCGTCGTAAGCATCTATCGCCATAATATCTTCCAGATATTTTGAAAAAGCTGTGTTAGACTCAGCTCTTCCACACGATTCCTAGTTATTCCACGCTACATTAATAACTGGGACGTGCGGGATACGGTAGAAGTCAGCATCGCGAACCCGTCTGAAGCTTTGCATGAGGGTGTTATTCGACCACCCCTCTGTAAAGTTTTAGGCGAATATGCGGCGTT